CTGCAACCTCAGTACGGACGCGTAGGAGGAGGAGGGTACGCGAGGCGGTGGAGCGTGCAGAGCGCGCGGAGGTCATCTGTGCGGGTGGGAGGGTGGTCGCCGCCGAAGTATCAGGGGGCGGCGCAGCAGACGGGGGTGTATCAGGGTGGGGGGCAGCAGGAGCAATGGACGCCCCCGATGCAGCGCACGACGCACCCGGCGCAGCAGCACCAGCAACAGGCGCACCAGCAGCACGTACAGAACCAAGAGCATACGCCGCAACACACGCCACGCCAGCACCAGCGGCACGCCGCCCCGCCGCACGCATGCACGACGACGCAGTGGACGCCCCCGCGCCCCGCGTATGCGACGGCGGAGCACGGGCAGTGGACGCTACCACGGCTGCCGCGCTTTGCGGACTTGGAGCGGTGGAGTCCGGGGGTGGGGGAGGCGGTTCCGTCGCACGCCCCGCAGGTCCCTTCGCATGCGCCGCCCGCGCACACGCATGTCCCCTCGCACACGCTCCCTCAGCTCACCCCGCTCGCGCAGGCGCCGATGCGAACACGGGCCCGTCGGGGGTGAGCGGGTATGTGCATATGTATTGAGCGTCGATGGGCGGGTTACTCCGCCGTTTTACGTTCTACTCGCGGGTTACCCCGCCGTTCCACCGTTCCACCGTCCTCCCGTTCCACCGACACCGACATGCATTGTATTGACCTTCACGACCGCGCCGTTCGTATATCATAATCCATTTGTTCTACTACATATGTACTCACGTATTCATTCACGTCTCTCTTTCTTTCCTTTCTCCGTCGCATACTTTCCTTCTTTCGTTCACATACATCCATCCATCTGCACATTAGCACACGCATTCATCCATCCATCATTCTCTCAGCTCGTTACTGCATCCTCTCATCTCAACTACCTGCATTGGCATCCATCACTACACATCAGATTCATCCCACTCACGCACATCATTGGCATTTTTTTTTTCTTTCTCTTTCCATCCTATCCATTGTACGGTTGTTTCGTAGCTATATATAAATAACCCACCCTACATCCCATACCTTACATTATTGGTCGTTCTATCGTCTATGTACTATTCGGGGAGGGAAAAGTCAGCAGAAGACATTCCCGCTATTCTATAGTGGGTTCTTGTAGTTACAGCTAATAACAGTACCGAGGGCGCGGATGAAAAAATTCCCATTTTGGGATATTTTTGATCCCCGCGACCGATTTGCCCATAGCTCAATGAGTATTGCGTCAATTGAGATAAAAACTATATAGGAATGACCGCTTAATCCATGTGCAATTAGTGATAGAGCTAAAGTAGAAAATAAATCATATCTTCAGGTGTCTTGAGAAACAAGGACTTCTGAGTGAGAATCTGGGCTAGCATGCCCAAATCAGATCCAAATGAGTTGAAATTTTGGGAGGGAGTGTTTGTAACTACTCCAGTCAATTTCATAGAGCCAGAACTGCGTATAAAAAAATTCTCCAGCTTTGTAGCCCTCAATTGAACTAAAATTGATATCAGAGGGCTACAAAGCTGGAGGAATTTTTTATACACAATTCGGGCTCTATGACATTGACTGGAGTAGTTACAAACACTCCCTCCCAAAATTTCAACTCATTTGGATCTGATTTGGGCATGCTAGCCCAGATTCTCACTCAGAAGTCCTTGTTTCTCAAGACACCTGAAGATATGATTTATTTTCTACTTTAGCTCTATCACTAATTGCACATGGATTAAGCAGTCATTCCTATATAGTTTTTATCTCAATTGATGCAATACTCATTGAGCTATGGGCAAATCGGTCGCGGGGATCAAAAATATCCCAAAATGAGAATTTTTTCATCCGCGCCCTCGGTACTGTTATTAGCTGTAATGGAAAAGTGATCGAAATTCGTTTTTCAGATTTCGATCATTTCCTTTTTCGCCACTATCAGGTGACCCATTTTTTTCTCAGTTCCCGTAATTTTCCGATGCCGCCGAGTTTGGCCGAAAGAGCCCCTATCTGCCCAATCTCTACCGATCTTTTGTCTTCTACTTCGATGTCCTTCCTTTGGAACGGAAGGAAGGTGACACCGTTTTGTCTCGGGCTTCTTTGCAACAAAACCGGTCGCAAACGCTCTAGTCCTTTTTCCTTACCAGAATTGTGCAACACTGGTCACCGGTCCTACTCACCGCCTGATTCTGGCTTGTTAATAATTTACACACTGCAACAGTGTGAGTCAAATGCACTCGGTGCGCAGCCGCCATTGCGCAACATCGCCGCATCATTATATCTTCTCAATCTCCACTTTGAGATGTTAGTTGTACTTTCGGTTTACTTGAATCTCTTCAACTATTGAAAAATATTGAGATTGCAGTACTCCTCCGAATCTGCTTCTGAACCACTGTGAAATTGGCCTCGTTATCATTGATGGCTTATCTACTTTCCGGCATATCTTGCCGGTCAAATTGTATTTGGGAACCCAAGCATGATGGGACAGTATTTATATAGCTTGCTCTCACTGCGCTGGCTTGCTTACCCACTGCAGGTAAATATCGTTGTTCAACCCTTGCCCCCCCATCGGCTGAAAGACTCGGCGCATCTGCTGGGGTGTAATATTAACTCAAGATATAAGTAAAGTCCTTCTTTAACTGAATAAGTGCCAGGCCGCTTCTGATAGTATCGCCTGAACACATCGGGTTCACCGCGATCCAAAAGGCGTTGGTTATTGACTGCTACAGGAAGCAACATATTTACATTTCACTTTTCCTCCAGTGAGGCATGGCCAACGGCCATTCTCAGCTTGGCCCAATCTGAGCTGGTCGACGCGAAGCGGTGACCGAGCGAAGGTTGGGCGTGGAAGCATTGGAACAAGGTGTTTGAGAAATCTATCTTACTGGTCCAAACCTTTTCATTACTGGTTGGATATTGGGATTTGATCCTGGTTTGATGATTTGTGAACAACTCTCTTTTGTGTGATTCATGGATTGGATAAATGCCTCTCCAAGTCTTCATAATTTCAACAGAGGCCTGGACATCCATGGCACACCCCCCTCCAGATATTCAACTATCTAATTTGAGGCTTTTGAGTCCCTATCCAAATTGAGATCACAGTGGTGATGAAGTTCAAGGTTTTGCATTACGAAGTTTAGAAAAATGCGAGCATATCAGATCTTGGTTCCATGGATACCGTCATGTTGGACTACCACTGAAGATGGAATAGCGGGGCCTGCCGCGGAGCGGGCCTACGGAGATTATGAAATAAAATTGTATTTTTCACACAACACCATTTCCGATTTTCTTTTCTTGGAAATTTGTTTTAGCGGCACGGCGTGATGCCGTAACCAAACTTCATTCGCACCCGAGTCGAACAGGAAGCTCCAACATACTCTTCGCAAAACCATTAGTAACAGCTGGTGTGTTAACCGCTACACCATTGGATCGCTAGTTGAATAAGTACAAGTTGGAAGAAAATGGGATGACCCAGCCCCGAGTCGAACGGGGAGCTCCAGCTTACCGTAGTAACAGACATTATAGTGATCTGGTGCGTTGGCATTGCACCACTAAGTCTTATTCTAATACTGCTGTTTCAAGCCATGTGCAGCTCCAAAAGGTCGAAATAAATACAAGTTGAAAAAAGAAACCTAGATTTAGGATGGCCCAGCCCTGAGTCAAACGGGAAGCTCCAGCATACTCAATGTGGATCCTCGCTAGTAAGAGCTGGTGTATTAACCATTACACCACTGGGTCCGCAATGACATTAGAATTGCGAGTTATGACTCTGAGCAGTTGAATAAATACAAGTTGAAAAGAAATATAGGATGACCCAGCCCCGAGTCGAACGGGGAACTCCAGCTTACTGCAGTAACACTAAGACCTCATAGTGAGCTGGTGCGTTGAGCATTACACCACTGAGTCTCATTCTAATACTGCTGTTTCAAGCCATATCCGGGTCCAAATGTCGAATAAATACAAGTTGAAAAAAAAAAAAACAGGATGACCCAGCCCCGAGTCAAACGGAGAGCTGCAGCATATGTTTCAAATTCCCGTGGTAATGAAAGCTGCTGTGTTATCATTACACCAATGGGTCTTATTGTAATACCATTGTCCCAAATTTAAATCATCATGAGTGAAACCAAGGCAAAATAATTGCATGCCAGAAAGGGGGAAAAACCTGGATTCGGGGGTGACCCCCGTCGAACGGGGAACTCCGGCTTACACGATTACCTTGCTTTGGTTCGGTCCAACAAGTTGAAAAAAAAAGACAGGTTGGCCCGTCCCTCAGTCAAACGGGGAGCTCCAGATTACATCAACGGCGCGAGTCTCCAGTGAAAACTGGTGTGTTGAGTGTTACATCACTGAGTCTTCCTATGACATTATAATTTCAAGGTTATAAGCAGTTGAAATAGCTGCGAAGTATTCAAGAAAATCGCAAAAAAAGAAAGGAAGACCAAACGGATGACCTAGCCCCGAGTCGAACGGGGTTCTCCAGCATACCCTGATACGGTGAGCTCCTGCACAGTAGAAGCTGGTGTGTTGAGCGTTACACCACTGGGTCGTCCTGATTCTATAATTATAAGCCATGTGCGGGTCACAAATGTCGAATAACTACAAGTTGAAAAAAAAAATGACAGGGTGACCCAGCCCCGAGTCGAACGGGAAGCTCCAGCCTACGGCTATTCTCAATTACCTCAGTAACAGCTGGTGTGTGAGCTGGGTGTCATCCTAATATCATAGTTCCAAGCCATGTGCGGGTCCAAAATTCGAAGTAAACACATGTTGAAAAAAGTATTCGGATGACCCAGCCCGAGTCGAACGGGGACCTCCAGTTTAAGGAGTTGACAGACCTGTACCATAGTAAGAGCTGGTGTGTTGAGCATTACACCACTGGGTCGATATCCTTATGCTTTGTGATCAGATGGGATGGGAGAGAAGTGATATGGCTGTGGATTATTGAGCCTGAGTACCACCGTGATCCACAAATTTAAATTATTGCAAATGAGTGAGAAAAAAAATCAAAAGTGACGACCCAGCCCCGAGTCAAACGGGGACCTCCAGCTTAAGAAGTCGGCAGACGGCGTAGTAAGAGCTGGTGTGTTGAGCACTGCACCACTGGGTCGATATCCTTATGCTATTGGTGACAGGCAAGTGAAAGGGTCCTGATGGCGCTTATGTAATGACTCCCATCACCAGAATTTTGGCAAATTCAGTCGGTCCATCGTACGGTGTCAACCATCCACATTCTGGCCAAGCTTCGAGTGTGAGTTAGTCTTAGTTTTTCATTTTACATAGAATTTCCCGCACAGAATTTTTATTTTGGCTCTCAATGCTTTGATAATGGCTTCCATCACCAGAATTTTCGCAAATTCAGTCGGTCCATCGTACGGCGTCAACCATCCACATTCTGGCCAAACTTTGAGTGTGAGATCGTCTCAGTTTCGCATTTTACAGAGGATGTCCCGGACAGAAATCTTATTTTGGCTCGCAATGTTTTGCATTTGTAATCTGTTTTTTCGTCTTCATTTTTTAACAAAGGTTCTAAGAACAAATTGGAAAATGTGCGCGGGACATTCCCTGAAGGTTGATTTTATCAGCTCATTACATTTTATTTTAGGGCAAACGGTACAGTATTGGATGTGCTATGATGGACCAAAGAATTCGCTGTGAAACAGTAGAAGTGATTGCATCAGAAACGTCCACCTGAGGGTCGATTTGCAGTTTACGGTGCCATTTGGTGCGTTTAAACATGGAAGATACCTTGAATACCCTATTATGAGTGTACAAGATGCCTCGGATGACTTGAATCAATGCTACGGAGTCTCTGGTCGATGTGAAGGCAATTTGCCATTGAAATCTGCCATTTGGCAGGCGGTGCAAACAAGTGCAAAAGGACATTTGATGCCCGCCAGTTGCCTGTCACCAATGCTATAGGATGGGATGGGATGGGATGGGATCAATGGATAATTCATTGAGCTAAGTTGAATGTCAATGCGAATCTTGGGACACATGCATAAAAGAGAAGAGACTGAATGAATCACTATAAAGAAGTGCAGTCCCTGGGAATTATGGGCATGCAGGATAAGGACCAATATGAAGACGAATTACGCAGCACTACTGTTCCGCTGGCACCAGAATTTTTTTCAAGAATATGATGAGTCTGCGATTTGAGGTTTGGATATTGGAACGTTGAAACATTGACTGATTGGACTGTCTATTAGTTAAAGACTGTTCTACCACTGCATCAATTTACCGTATCAATATAGAGCCGTGAATCAGTAGTGTTTTACTCACGTACCACTCATCCATGTATCGCCGCTAGTCATCAGGATCGTCCCCAGCAGTGCATAGGATCCTCCTCTTCGGATGCCACGTAAAAACATCCTTTATAGCAGCCTCAAACCGGTTCCTCGCACTCATCGCCGACGCGTCATACGATAGCTCCGACCCATTCACATAAAACTTCAACGTTCCGAGTGCTGCAAAATCTTCCCTATCCAATAGCCTGACGAGATCCACTATCGGCCGGCCTTGCCCGCCGATGCGGCTGCGGTACGCGTCCGTCTCGACGACGAGCGTCAAATGCGTGAGCGCACCTGCGGCTGCGATGTTCGATAGCAGCTGCTGCACCCCTGGGTTCATCGACAAGAGCTCCACGCCGCTGTCTATTTCGTTGAACAGCAGCGCGTGGTCGATCCGCAGGCGACATAGGCCCGTGCTGGACGCGAAGTCGAGTTCCGCGAGTTCCGCTATGGTGGCAAGTAAACACTCGTATTTAGGCTCGTCATGCTGGGGACATACTGATCTGCGAGCTTAGATAGCAGCTCAATTGGAGACACTGCAGCCGGGCGCCCAATCGGCGCAAGTAAACGGGAATGTGTTGGAAGCGAGCTTGGTCCGTATTGTGCCACGGGGTGCGGATCGACACGTCGCGCGGAGAAACATCAAAAAGCAGTCGCAGCAGTTCCGGGGGGCATACGCTGAGCGCCTTCAACTCGGGAAGCGCGAGTTGATCAGAGGCATATCCATCCTTCACCTCCACAGCAAAAGAAATTTCTTCTAGCGCCACGCACCGCAGCCGAGGAAAGTGGGACATGAATTTGGAGAACCCAGTGGGAGACGCGAACCTGACACTGTGCAGAGACAGACTTGTCAGGTGCGGGAGGTTCGGGAATGTGGCGGAGAGGACGTAGGATTGGAGCCGCAGGGAGCGGAGGGCTAGTAGATGCACAAGTACTGGCCGCATATGGGATAGATCGCCCAGCTGGACGAGAGAGAGGGAATGGAGAATAGATGTGAAGGGGTTACCGGGACTTTCCGTCAGCTTAATGAATGGCTGAACGAGGTTCCGCGAGAGTCCTACCGAGCCGTGGAGCTGGTATCGCGCGGAGGGCAGCCACGAGCGGCATACGAGAGTGCAGGATCGGAGGGCCGGGGGACTATCGCAGAGTTGCACGAGAATCTGGTCCACGATTTCGGGAGGGAATTCTGCGAATGGTGCTGGTCCTGTCATGCTGTCGGTTGAATTTGCACAAAAACAAGACGAGGAGGCTGCAATGGTGATGTGTGCCACCTGACGTTGGTGGGAAACTGATGTGGGGGATTTATTAAATCAACGTAAACCTCTCAAGGGAGTCAGGACATCCGACAGGCACATCCGCATTGTAGAAAAATAAGTAATATAACATTAGTACCGTCACAATTACACAGAGCATAGAACTCTCTCCCAACTAGTATTGTCCCATCTGTAACACGTCTAAAGCAATACCTACAGAAGTAATGAATGAAAAAAACAAAGTGCTGCCCAAATGCGACAACTTACCGCAACAATGACCACAGCACACACGATCCCAAAAATAACGGCCAAGCAGGTCCGTCCAGATCTGCGCTGGTACCTTTGCGCGACTGATAGCTCGTCTGCCCCGCGCTCAAGGTCATGCGCCACGCGCCGTGTGGTGTCTTCCAGCAGAACTATATAGAAAAAAGCGATCAACCTATAAATCAATACAGTGGAAGGAGAGTAACGCACTCATATCATCAGCCTGCTCGTCGACAAGCCGTCCAAGCTCGGCGAAAATCTGTGCGATTTGCTCGACACTGGTTTGTATATCTTCTATGGCTGCTTGTCTATCTTGGATCTCCGCATCACGGTAAGCATCTTCCGTCCCATGAACGAGGGTTTGCGTCTCCGATGCGTCGTCGATGAGTGTTTCGGATCTGCGTATTGGCTATGAATACGAGCAGGAGATGACGTCGATTTTAAAATACTGACCGAGTATCATCCGCCTGGTATGGGGCCTGGATTTGTCTAGAAAGAGCCATCTTCTGCTGACTTAGGCTAAAGTTCTGCGCAGCTTGAAATTTCTGGATTGATGCCTCAAGATCTTTAATAATCTTGTTCAGCGCGGGATCCTAAAATCAATGAGAATGAGCCACGACGAGCCAAAAAATCAAAGGACGAAGACTATTAATACCGTTGGTGACATTGCTGCAAGTTTATTGACTTCCGACGACGCCTGCGCGACCATCGCACGTGTCGTTTCCGTCAAATCTCGTCTACGTGCTGTTTGAGCATCGACTTGACGCAAATGGAAATCCAACCAATAAGCACTCACATCCGGTCACGGAGAGAGGGAGTGTCTCTCTGGGACCCCATCTGGCCCACAAGTGCCAGTATGCCTTGCGTATTTGCATCTATTTTAAACACTAGAAGAGACAGCGAAGTCCGCAGCCGCTGGGTGGGACTCTGGGCGCCCGAAGACGAGGCAGCCACGGAGAAACCACCTTCTGCAAAATTCTGGAAGCTCATAAGTGAGGATGCGGAGGTCAAGGATTTGCTGGTCGTCTTTGGTGGTCGTCGAGTCAAAAGATGAATACGCAGTGCGCAGTCACGGCTGCGATCAGTCATGTCATCTGATGTGACATTGTCACCAGTCTCCTTGTTTCCGACTCTCATGCACAAGCTCAAGACGTCCCGGGCCGCATACTTGACGTCCTAGAATTCTCGCCGAATTCATCTAAATTTGTTTCCTCTATGACCAGTTCGCATCTCAGATCTTTTGACAATCTTTTGGGGCGACCTCATCTCTAGCCTTGGGAACTGACACTGTGGGCCATTAAAGCTTGATTACGTGCCATAGAAGGCCCTCGAGCCAGCTATTTTACGGCTCCCTTCTTGAATTGGACATCCTACTCGCGGCTCCAGTTGAAGAGTAGTGCGGCTCGTCCGACAAAAAGAAACCGTTTGCTCACATATTCTGGCTGACATATCGGTTTCCTGCAATTAAGCCTCCGCGACATTACGCTCTTGATTATTTCTTTTGCTGGCTTCTCCCTTGCAATGTATATAATCCTTCCATTGCCAACATCGTTACATTGAACCACGCTGCTGCTCTCGCCATACACTTAGGCGATCACTCCCTCTGCTCACTGTGTCCAAACTGGCGCTCCGATTTTCAAACGGTCTGTGCCTTCGCAGCCACATTACACCTCTTCTCCATGAATTCCCCATCGTCTTGACGCTCGCCTTTCTCTGTAGCCTGCGATCCTCGACGCTCTGCAGCACCACCTCCATCGCTATCTGCGAAATTTCTCCGCCCCCTCGGGGGCCGATTTCCCTCGTGTAAACGCTCTTCCAGCGCAATGTGTCACAGCAGTATCCACGTTCCTCATTTTACTCGCATTGTTGGTGATTACGATGTACTGGACGTGCTCTGACGATGCCCGATCCGGAAGAAGGACAGTTCACACATGAGAAGATCCGCGCAGTGCCAACATCGGGCAGAATATATTGGACATCGGGGCACAGTTGATGGTGCGGCTTACATCGTCTTGTGCTCTGCGATGTCGGCTCACCTTTAGGAATAAGCGAATTATCCCGGTTTTGTGGTCATTTCGCCACATTGCGCTATAGACGCATTGGACTTGTAAAATGCGGTTCATTTGTAGCCTTGAACGGAAAGTGAAAAAACATGGCGGATTTTCGAATTGCAGGCTTGGCATTTTCTCGCACCGTCCATACCAAATTGGAAGCAAGTTATTCCTGGCGTCCATTGAGTTCGTCAGATACGTGTTGGTAGGCAGTTGCTGCGCCATAAACTATGAGTTTAAGCAAAGTGATAG